AGATTATGCAGCTTTGCAATGGCAAAAGACCTCAGAATTATGAGTACGTCCTTTCAAAGGAAGAATATACATAAAGAGACTTGGATGTCTCCTGATGGGAGAACCAGAAATCAAATCGATCATGTGCTAGTAGATAATAGAAACAAGAGTAGTGTGTCAAATATAAGGAGTATTAGAGAAGCTGAATGTGGATCAGACCATCATTTAATACTTGTCAAACTCACTCAAAGAATATCACTGGAGATAAACCACAGCAAACAAGTTACAGAAGTTTTAGCAGTAGAAAAACTAAAAAAGCAAACCACATTAGTTAAAGAATTTAGGATCAAACTACATAACCGATTCCAAGTTCTAGGTGACACGGAAGAAACAGAGATTATGGAAGACATAGAAAATAAATGGGAAACGTTCAGAAACAGTATACTTAACACAGCAAAAGAAGTTTGTGGTAAAAAGAAGAGAGCAAGGAAGAATCCATGGTTTGATGGAGAATGTGAGCAAGCTATACTGGAAAGAAGCGAGAGGAAAAAGAAGTGGTTGAACAGTAAGTCTAACGAAGATAGAGAAGAATATTTTAGAGTAAACAAAGAAACCACAAGAACCCTGCGTAAGAAAAAGAGAGAGTACTTGAAGGGATTACTAGAAAAAGCAGAAAGAGATCAGAGAGCACAAAATGCCAGAGACTTTTATAAATGTGTTAGGCACTTCAGAAGTGGATATACAGCAAATGCATTTGGCATTAAGGACAAAGAGGGCAATATTTTAGTACAGAAACAGGAAGTGACCAACAGATGGAGAGAGCACTTTGAGGAGTTACTAAATGGGGAAGAAATTGACAATAATGAAGAAATCCCCATATACCATGATGTACAACCTCTTGTTGAGAATCCAAGTATTGAAGAAGTAGAACAAGCATTAAATTCCTTAAAGGATAACTAATCTCCTGGAGAAGATGGTATAGTAGCAGAATTATTTAAAAAAGGTGGCAGGACTACACTAGAAAAACTCCATGATATAATATGTAGAGTATGGAACGAAGAAAAAATGCCAAAAACATGGAAAGAATCTATAATAGTGCCAATATATAAAAAAGGAGAAAAGGAATATGTGGAAATTACAGAGGAATATCTTTGCTCAGTCATGGATATAAAGTTTTATCAAAGATTATTCAAAAGCGACTCGAGGAATACACAAGTAGTATAAATAGAGGATCACCAGGCAGGATTTGTAAAAGGGAGATCTACAATGGACCAGATTCACATACTTAAACAAGTTATTAGTAAGCACTGGGAATACAATAAAGAAGTACATGGGCTTTTCATTGATTTTTCGAAGGCCTATGATAGCCTTGACAGGGGAAGAATATATCAGCAGATGGAAAAGTTTGGGATCCCCAGAAAACTAATAAAACTAGTAGAAATGTCCTTGAATGAATCAAAATGCAAAGTAAAAATAGATGGAGAGTTATCAGAAAGCTTTGAAGTAAGAACAGGCGTAAGGCAAGGTGATGGAATGTCACCTATACTATTTAACATAGCCTTAGAAGAAGCCCTCCAACAAGTAAGACAAACAAATATAGGTTTAGAAATGGGAACAAAAATAAACATCCTAGCTTTTGCGAACGATGTAGTAATTCTGTCCGAAAACAGAAATGACCTAGAGGAGCTAACCAGACTGTTCATAAAAAAATCAGAAAAAATGGGCCTAAAGATTAATGATGAGAAGACGGGAAAATATATACACTTCACGAGACAGCCAAATGAAGTGAGGACAAATGAAATTAGTATAGATGGACATACTTTTGAAGTTGTTGAACAATTTAAATATCTAGGGGTAATTATATCAAGCAGCAATAGTGAAGAAATTGTTGACTTCAAAGATTCTCTCACATAAACCGAAAATAAAAATATATCATAGTATAATTCGACCAGTATTAACATATGGAGCTGAAACTTGGATTTTAAATAAAAAAGAAGAAAACAAAATGATTGTTTTTGAAAACAAAATTTTAAGAATGATATATGGACCAATACAAGAAAATGGAGAATGGAGAAAAAGGCATAATAGGGAGATAAGGAATATGTACAATGATTATGATGTAGTAGCACACGTGAAAGCAAGGAGAATAAGGTGGGCAGGACACGCACTACGGAGAGAACGAGGTTCACTACTAAAAGAAGCAAGTATAGGAAAGCCAGAAGGGAAACGACCATTAGGAAGGCCCAAGAAGACATGGTGGGATAGTGTTTCCAAGGACGTCAGAGAAGTGGGGGCAGAAGTGGAAGAGGCAGAAGATCGAGAGAGATGGAAAGCAGTTGTTGGTGCGGCCAAATCCCGCCTTGGGCATAAATGGCCATGGGAGTGAGTGAGTGTGAGGAGGTTGAGATGGATGGGCCATATTAACCGTAGAAGTGAGAGAGAGATGGTAAAGATGGTACTCAGAGGTATACCAGAAGGAAGGAGACCATTAGGTAGACCAAGAATGCGATGGGTTGATGAGGTGACGAAGGACTTGAGAGGAAAGGGAGCAGACTTGGAGCTGGCAGAGGATAGAAGAGCTTGGAGGCACATGGTTGGCGAGGCCAAAAACCACCTAGGTTTCCAATGGCCACAGGAGTAAGTAAGAAAGTAAGTAAGTAAGGATAAAAATTAATCAAACGTCTGACACTCTTTTGAATCATAAAAAAACACAGTCTCTAAAACATAAAATGTAAGCTATGACATTTTTTGCCATGCAAACCCTTAAATTTAGCCTTAGAAGCTATTCTATGCCGCATAAAACCATATTTTAGAGTACCGGTACTCACTATTCAGAATGTTTATGTGAATTTTAAAAAACATGTTTTTTCTTGTTTATGTTTACCCAATATTTTAATGTTTCTTAGGAGTAGATTTATCAATAGAATTCATTGGTTTCGATAACATTTTCTGTAGGCCTAGCACAAAACTGTACAATACGTCTAGCCTATATCGGTTTGGTCAATTAATTAAGACAGAGAACCTGACAAATATGTCCCAATACACAGTAAAATATGGCATGAGATTAAAAATTATAAAATCAACTATTAAGTAGGCCTATTAAATAATGGCCCAGGTTTAAGAAGGATTAGGCCTATAGTGATATGATAATTTTAAATGCAGATTGTCTTTTATTTCGCTTTTATTTTAATTTTTTTTTTGCTGGGTTACATGCATGTTTATTTACGATGGTTTTCAATATCTTGAGACGAATAGGTCGTGCAAAAATTATTAAGTATAAACTAAATAACTTAGCATCAATATTTTAGCATGATAAAATGTTAAATTGAGTTTATATCATTCTTTTAGCGAATTTCCCTATAGGGAAGTAGCTATTACCGTAGGTCTCATGGTAAGACCTAAGCCCGGGACCGATTTACTTTTTCATTTTGATGTCCCCAGAGGCCAAAAACACCATTCGTTCAAATTTTTATATATCTATAGAGATATATATATATGTGTCCATCCGCACGATAACTTGAGTAATTTTTGTCCGATTTTGATGAAATTTGGTTTGAAGGTGTAAGGCAGGATAAACTTGAATGAGTTCGCGAACCAGCACGATCGGACTATGGGAACGGGGGTTATATGGGGTAAAAATAGGTTTTTCCCATTTTTGACCCTAAAAACACAAAATTTCACAATTTCTTTTTAAACCATTTTGTAGAGCTTAAAAAACAAATAATTTAGTGTATTGAAGCGTTATTATGCGCCTAATTGTTACGGAGAAAATTCAAAAAAATTGTAATTTTAAAATTCCCATGTTATTCTTATGGAGAATAAGTCAACTGTTGTAGTTTGCTTGTTTATGAACATATTTTGATCAAATTTCGAAAATACATTAATTTCTTACTAAACCACAGTACCTTTTAATATTTTACATTAAAAAAACTTTTTTACCCTCCCTGTTGCAGCAAACCTAAGTACTCATTAAACTAATTCTGTTTAAATAGGGAATGAATGTGATATTTTAAAGGAGACATTTTATTTAAAATCCAATCAGGCAGATGGAAATTCGCTAAGTCTGCAGGTTTGCTGCGGCGGGAGTATTTATTACATGTCTTGGTCTTTACTTTATAATATCAAGTAAATCATGCATATTGTGTAAAAACCGGCAACGGCAACTGCCGTGTCGTGGTGTGTGTGTAAGCAGTGTTCCATTTGGTGACACAGGATTCCAACTCCCATGACACCAGGGCGGCGCAGTGTTGGTGTCGTGCCGTGTGAAAACGGCCATTAGGCTACAAAATGATTGAGGGATCTTTGACGGTTTAATTAATTGATAGGCTACCTATAGGCTATTGATTGTTATAAACTTAGGCCTAAGTACTTCGATATTTTCAATTGGTAATATGGTGGCCCAGATAAGAAACTGCACGATTTGTTTAGCTGATTGCTGTGTGAGTAACTATACACAATATGTTAATGTACCTAATATGATAAAGACATTAGGCCCTATGCTTGAAACATTTGTTGAGTTAGGTTAGTTTAGGCCTATTTATTTTTTTCTATCAATCATGAAAGCATTGTAGGCCTATGGTAATGGAAAGTAGAATAATCATAGTTTTGGTTCGATATTACAGTGGAGTTGAATATAAAAAGGGTAGGCCCTACAGTTTCTTAAATGGGCTATGCTAATATCGATTGAAACTATCGAATTGAAAATATTGATTAATAATCGATATTTTTAAATATATTTATTATCAAATTTAACTATCATAACCTAACCTAACCAACCAAACTTGCTGATGGTGAAAAAATCGCACGAAAGTTTACTAATCGAATCGATAGTTTCAATCGATTTTAGCATAGCCCAGTTGAGTTAAGAAACTGTACCCTTAAAGAGTAGGTCGAGGCTGTAAACATATTAATATTTTAGAAGTGAGCTTGACAATGGTTTTATGGCTTAGTTAGTTGTAGGCCTAGGTGCACTTACAATACTCGAAACACAAAAATATTAAAACCTGTAGGCACTTACTTACTCTGATTTTAGCTAACACTCCCGAGTTTTCAAGAGTTTGTGCGACTAAATCACTTAACTCTGGATCTCCTTGCACAGACATGATTAATAACCTATGAAGAGGCAACTTCTATAATATGTAAGAACTGTTAAGATAAAAAATAAACAAAGTTATTCAAACTTATAAATGTTATTTGAAAGTTGAGTATCGTTCAAGTTAAGTATTGTCGTCGTCTGCTCTCCAGTCTCCACTCCATAGAGATTTTTTTAAATAACTTCAAAAAGGACAAGCGTGCGGAGCTAAAAAGATCATTTATTTCAACTTCACAGTAGTAATTGAGGCCAATGAGGCAATGAGTAAGGACTTAGAGTCATGCAAAATAAATATTAAAAAGCTACAATCCGCTCTGAATATCAAGGACGAAAATAATTCTTTGAAAGAAGCTCTATCCAATAGTGAAAACAGAACCACGTTTATTGTAAATGATAATGACAAAATTAAAAACATCACCAGCAATATGAAAGGTCCGTGAAGTTAGCCCCCCCCCCCCCATAAAAGCACTAACAATAAAACTAGTATTAATGGTTAGTGCTTCGTTAGTGCTGGTTAGTGCTTCAACTTCCACCGTTAGTGCTCTTACGGTTCAGGAGCTACCCCCCAGTAGTAATATGTGAGCACTAACTTTCAAAACTGTAACAACGGTTAGTGCTTCGTTAGTGCTGGTTAGTGCTTCAACTCCCATCGTTAGTGCTCTTACGGTTCAGGAGCTATGACCAAAAAACTGTGGGTGGGGCCAACTTCACGGAAGTTAGCCCCCCCAGTAGTAATATGTGAGCACTAACTTTCAAAACTGTACCAACGGTTAGTGCTTCGTTAGTGCTGGTTAGTGCTTCAACTCCCATCGTTAGTGCTCTTACGGTTCAGGAGCTATAACCAAAAAACTGTGGGTGGGGCCAACTTATATCTTCCCTGGGGAAATATTACCTTTTATTTAAAGCTTTAAAAAATGTGTGGAGTCTAGTTGATATAATTGTGTGGAGCTGTCTTTCATTCGCCTTAAAAATCTAACCTCGGAACTAGAGCTTTTCATTAAAACTCCAGGAGCATTCACTAACCAGCGCTGACCATTTACAATATTTGGAAAGTTAGTGCTCACATATTACTACTGGTTAGAGCGGGGGGCTAACTTCCGTAAAGTTAACAACGCAACAGTTTTTCTAGTTACAGCTCCTGAACCGTAAGAGCAAACGATGGGAGTAGAAGCACTAACCAGCAGTAACGAAGGACTAACCGTTGGTACAGTTTTGAAAGTTAGTGCTCACACTATGGGTGGGGGGGGGGGGTAGTGAGTCGGTGGCTGAGTCGATAGCGTCGCGGACTTCGGATGTCGTCGGTTCGGATCCTGGTCACTGCCACTAAAAGTTATCAGTACGGTTCACCTTTGTACCGGCTCACCCCTTGCTTTGCTGTAAACGTTCCAGCATGGGCGCTTAGTCTATGTGGACGGGCAAATGCAAGGTTAAAAGAGGCCGCCAATCTCTTTAAAAAAAAAAACTTCCGTGAAGTTGGCCCCACCCACAGTTTTTTGGTTACAGATCCTGAACCATAAGAGCACTAACGATGGGAGTCGAAGCACTAACCAGCACTACCGAAGCACTAACTGTTGGTACAGTTTTGAAAGTTAGTGCTCACATATTATTCCGTGAAGTTGGCCCCACCCACAGTTTTTTGGTCATAGCTCCTGTACCGTAAGAGCACTAACGATGGGAGTTGAAGCACTAACCAGCTCTAACGAAGCACTTACCGTTGGTACAGTTTTGAAAGTGATTGCTCACATATTACTACTGGGGGGGGCTAACTTCCGTGAAGTTGGCCAACTTCCGTGAAGTTGGCCCTACCCACAGTTTTTTGGTCATAGCTCCTGTACCGTAAGAGCACTAATGATGGGAGTTGAAGCACTAACCAGCTCTAACGAAGCACTAACCGTTGGTACAGTTTTGAAAGTTAGTGCTCACATATTACTACTGGGGGGGGGGCTAACTTCCGTGAAGTTGGCCCCACCTACAGTTTTTTGGTTATAGCTCCTGAACCGTAAGAGCGGGAACGCGCCAAGGCGCCACCACGTCAACCCGCCACCAAGTCAACCCGCCATCAAAAAGAAGAAGAAGTTTGAGGTGGCGGGTTGACGTGGTGGCTCGTTGTCGGGGTGGCACGTTGACTCTAGCGTGCACGACAACCCACCACCTCGGAAAAATCTGTGGTGGCTGGTTGTCGTGGTGGCACGTTGTCCTGGTGGTGCTTAGACATGTTCATACACGTCAAACAGCCACCTCTTTAGTATGGTGGCGGGTTGACGTGGTGGCTGGTTGACGTCTACGTGCGAGGTGGCGGGTTGACGACACCAAACATTGAGCGTACACGACAACCCGCCACCTCATAAAATAGTGATGGCGGGTTGACGTGGTGGCACGTTGTCGCTTACATTCGAGGTGGCGGGTTGACGAGAGTTAACATGGGGCGTACACGACAACCCGCCATCTTTGTTGGCAAAAGCCGCTGTTGTCTGTGTATTATAAAATGCATCACTTTTTGCAGTTTACCTGGACTTGTGTTATCTAGTTTACTGTTAAGTTAACTAGACATTAGTTATTGTGAATTAATTAATTTTCTAATCGTTTTCCTAAAAAGATCTGCCATATAAATAAAGTACACGCGCATCCACGCAAGACAATTTTTCCTTTTAATCAACGGTTATTGTTAAAAAAAAAAATTGTAAGATAAACTCACTACAAATTAACGACTTATACAATATTTGTTATGTTTTCGCATATTTTTATTGAAGACAAAAACATGAAACTTTAATAATTTTGAAAAATAAGTTATTAGTTTCTTAGGATTTGTTGTAGGTGTATACCTGGTATAATACCCATCCTTATTTTCTTTTTCAGCATTATGACAATGAATTACAAAATAAGTTACCTAACAACTTAATCAATTAATTGTAATTCACGTGTGTATGGCCTAAACAAAAATTATGAAAATGTATTGTTCGGTTGTAATTTCTCTTAAAACCGTATTGTGGTCAAAATAATTATACATTCAACCAAAAACATAAAACAAAATATAACAGACTAAAATGTACTTTGTGTGGACTAGCGCGCACCTGTTTTTCTATTTAGAAGAATTTGAGAAAGGATACAGAACTAGACTCGACCCAACCGGTAACGTACTTTGACCTCTTTGAGTCAAGGGTGTTGCCCAGAGAAGTTCATACCAGACAGATATATTCCAAAAATCTCATTAGGAGATATCTTAAACCAAGATTTCTATTGAATTGATCATGCTCTGCTTGATATTCCATTTCATGCTTCAGGAAATACCGTACCGGTACCGTTACTTTGGTATTATTCGGAGGCCACTTTTTTTCTAGAGGGATTTTTTTTACCTAAGAAAAAAAAACACATAATTAGAAAGAATATACTTTAATTAACTTACTGTCCAAATATGAAATGATTGCAATTGCAATTAGCGGATTTTGAGTTCTGCCTCCCAGAAGGCAAGATTGAGTTGAATGCGTCACCGCCCCTAGCTGCCACGCGAACTCCGCCGAGTAGATACTGAGTAAATACTGCGCGCTTTAGCAGTTATGTTAGGTTGGGTTTCCTCGTTCCATTATGAATCTAACAATACAACATGAGTGACGATACCTGAGATACAGGTGGTGACAGGTGATGCGCGCGCTCCGGCCATTGGTCAACGACATGACCTTGGCCTACTTGGAGGGGATTTGGCGATATGACTCATCTGGTATCATTCCATCCTTAACAAAACTAAGAAAGTTCTACAAACATATTTATGATAACCCAACCTAACATAACCACCGCAGCACGCTGCGGATACAGTAATATCAAAGTAGCATTAATACCGTACTTTTGCTCTTGGCACAATGGGTTCGGGGCATTCCACTAATGTACTGTTGAAAATTGTATGAAATAATTGATTCATATTTAAAAGTATCTTTACTAACTAAACTAAATCTGTGTACAGCTTGTAAACAAATCAAATATAAACAATAACAATAATCACATAATAATAACATCTATCTATCCATATCATCAAATCTATTCTTCTAATATATAAAATTCTCGTGTCACAGTGTTTGTCTGCAAACTCCTCCGGAACGACTTCACCGATCGTTATGAAATTTGGTGTGTAAATTCTGTAGGTATGCGAATCGGACGTAAACTATTTCCCGTTTCGAAATTCTTAAAAGGGCTCCGCCCCAGTGGCTCTGGAGTTTCCCATGTTAACCTTATGAGAAATGGAATTAATGAATCTTAACAGCTGTTTCAATTAAACAAGTTGGTTCTGTTCTATGATGTTCAATAGCATTAAAGTTACAAGGATTACCAACAGGGTGCAGCACTATTATTTCTTTTACATTTATGACAACAGCTAATTTGCAACCAAAAGGTGAGTGAGCGTAGCGAACGAGCTCCAACCCAAAGGTGAGTGAGCGTAGCGAACGAACTTCAACCAGGACGTGATTGAGCGATGCGAACGAGATCATCTTGAAAATTAAACGTAACGGCGAGTGAGCGTAGCGAACGAGCTAACCTGAAGGCAAGTGAGCGCAGCGAACGAGCTCCAACCTAAAGGTGAGAGAGCGTAGCGAACGAGCTCCAACCCAAAGGTGAGTGAGCGTAGCGAACGAACTTCAACCAGGACGTGATTGAGCGATGCGAACGAGATCTTGAAAATTAAACGTAACGGTACTTTCTTTTCATCGGTCTGTCTTAGGGGAAACCTATAACTTAGGCGATACGAAGTTCGCCGGGTCAGCTAGTCTATCTATACTATTATAAAAAAGAGGTGGTTGCTGTATGTGTGTATGTGTGTATGGGAAAAGTAAACTCGAAAAATACTGGTCGGATTGGGCTGAAATTTGGCATGATGATAGCTCACATTCCCGATTAACATATAGGCATATTCTTATTTCAAAAATCCTTTCGGGCTCCGCCCCAGTGGCTCTGGAGTTTCCCATGTTAACCTTATGAGAAATGGAATTATTGAATCTTAACAGCTGTTTCAATTAAACAAGTTGGTTCTGTTCTATGATGTTCAATAGCATTAAAGTTACAAGGATTACCAACAGGGTGCAGCACTATTATTTCTTTTACATTTATGACAACAGCTAATTTGCAACCAAAAGGTGAGTGAGCGTAGCGAACGAACTTCAACCTG